GAACGTTCTGAGCTGCTTGTAAATTACCTCAGATAAACTCCTTCACATCGCCCGCTGCCCCATCTTTCTCCACGTGCGTGTGGATAAACACAATTTTTTATCCTTCTAATTACATAAAGTTAGAAGAAGAAGGGGACACAAAATAATATTAGCATCTCCCAGAAGGAATAAATAAACCATGAGGACACTGCTACTCCTTGCAATGCCTTTCTGGTGGACCTATGGCTGAATTCTGCCCTTTAATGAATACACACAACAGCGCTGGCCTCTGCGGGAAGGTGGATTTACATTTAATACGAAGGGCAAATGGGGAGCGCTAAGTTTCTAATCATCTCTGCCGTCGGCTCACTGCCTGCCTCACATCCAGCCCGCAACCACTATTTATTAAGCGCCTGCTGTGTACCCAGCACTGTCCTAGCACTTTTTTTAGAGCAGTTTTAGATTTATGGAAAAATTGAATACAATGTACAGAGTTCCCATATATTCCGTCCCTCTCACCTACGTTCAGTTTCCCCTATTATTAACATCTTGAATTGGTGTGATAACATTTGTTACAATTGATGGACCAATACTGATCCATCAGTATTTGCTAACATCCGTAGTTTATATTAGGGTTCACTCTTTGTGTTGTACAGGTCTATGGTATTTACAAATTTATAATGACATATATCCACCATTACAGAATAATACAGAATAGCTTCATTGCCCAAAAAAATGCCCTGTGCTCCACCTACTCATCCCTCCCCCCAAGTCACTGACAACCACTGATCTTTTTACTGTCGCCATAGTTTTGTCTTTTCCAGAATGTCATAGAGTCGGAATTATACAGTATATAGTATTTTCAGACAGGCTTTTTTCACTCAGCAGTATGCATTTAAGTTTCCTTCTTGTCTTTTCATGACTTAATAACTCATTTCTTTATATCACTGAGTAATATTCCATTGTATGGATATACTACAATTTGTTTATCAATTCACCTATTGAAGGATATCTTGGCTTTTTCTAAGTTTTGGCAATTGTGGGTAAAGCTGCTATAAACAATTTGTGTGCAGGTTTTTGTGTGCAGACATAATTTTTCAACTCGTTTGGGTAAATACCTGGGAAAGCAATTGCTGGATCATAGGATAAGAGTATATTTAGTTTTGGAAGAAATTGCCAAGCTGTCTTCCAAAGTGGCTGTACCATTTTGCTTTCCCACCAGCAATGAATGAGAGTTCCTGTTGCTCCACATCCTCGCCAGAGTTTGGTGTTGTCTGTATTCTGAATTTTGGCCATTCTAATAGGTTCGTAGATGTATCTCATTGTTGCTTTAATTTTCAATCCCCTAATGACATACATGATGTTGAACATCTTTTCATGTGCTTATTTGCCATCTGTATAACTTCTTTCATTGGGTGTCTGTTCAGACCTTTTACCCATTTTTTAATTGGGTTATTTGTTATTGTTGAGTTTTAAGCATTCTTTGTATATTTTGGATACAAGTCCTTCATCAGATATGTCTTTTGCAAATATTTTCTCCCAGTCTGTGCCTTGTTTTTTCATTATCTCGATGTCCTAGCACTCTTCATGCCTGCATTTTCTCATTTAATCATCCCAACATCCTGTGAGCTATATAGAATTGGTTCCATTTTGCTAAGGAAACCAAGGCTTAGAGAGATCATTGACTTGCTAAGTTACTTGCATCTAAGTGCCTTGACCTGGCATGGAGAGCCCTCTGTAATCTAACCCCCGCCTACCTCCTCTGCCTCTTCCCCCACTGCTAATCCCCTCACATTCGATGTTCACAAGACAAGAAACTGCTTGCAGCTCCCCCAAGGTTCTTGCTTTTCCAGGATCTCTGGCTTCACTCTTTGCTGTTCCTTCTGATGGAAAGACTCTTCCTCATTGTCCATTGGTCAAGCCTTACTCACTTAAATTCCTCATTCAATTATTACTTCACAAAGCCCTCTATTTCTCACTTTCTAGACCTTGAAGTTCCACTTCTAGGTACACACTGTCTCCCCCACTACACTGACAAACTCTTTAAGCGTGAGTATCATTTTGATAACACTTTCGTAGTCCCTTCAACAAGCCTGCACATAGTAGGCGCTCAGTGAACGTCTCCTTAATGAATGAATGAAGAGGAGCGATTGGCCAATACCATCATCTGGTGGTTAGAGGCACCTTTCATCTTTAAGCATATTTAACTAAAAGAAGTAAGTTTCTTTTTGTTTTGTTTTTAATCATTTTTGCTTTCAGATTTTAAATTTCATTTATATTAAAGAAAATTCCCTTTCAATATTTTAAACCAGAATCTCTGTTTCCAGTGCTATAGACCCCAAGGGAAGGCATAACTCAATAAATAAAAGAGATTTTTGAATCAATAAGTCATTAGTGAGACCACTGAGTGAAAACACAATATGCATTTTCACTTTTTTAAGGCTTACAGTTTTTGTAACCACTGGTAACAAGGCTTAACAGCCTGAGCTCAGAGGCAGGTGCTGTGCCTCACCTGAATCCCTGCTGGGTGGAGTGTCCCCCAAGAAGTCTCACTTTCTGGGCTAGAATACTGCAGGAGCTGGGGAACAAACATTTGCACAGACTCCAGGAGTAGTACCTGCAAGATGCTGGAGGTCCAGGGGCAGCACATTGTGTGAACAGAGCAGGAGTTCAGGATCAGACAGACCTGAGATAGAACCCCAGCTCTGCCACTCATAGGCTGGGATAACATAACGTGGGAAACTTGCTTAACCTCTCTGGGCTCCAGTTTTTTCATCCGTGAAATGGAAAGAATGATAATACTACATTATTGTGGTATTATTATAATAACCTATAGAGCTATTTTGAGGAATAAATGATTGAGTGAGATAAAGTATGTAAATTCTCTGGTAGCTCTCATGAACTCCGTAAAGGCTAGTTCAAACTCCCCCCCACTTCACACCCCACTCCCCCACCCACCCAAAGGAGTTACTTAGACCTCCACCTACTCCCTGTAATTGCTTCCACTGAAACTCTTCCCCATGATGAGTAAAGGGGCATCCAGTATATCTCAGTGTCTAGCATACTGCCTGGCACATGGCAGATACTCAATGAATAATTTTTGAATTAATTGATTAGTTAATTTAATAATGGATTTGGGTGGTATCCTGCCAAGCCCGGGCCTGTTTGTCCATCCACAGACCCATTCCTTACCTTCTTCTGTTCAAATTTCTATCACAAGGAACTGACCCCTGCAGGTTGCCCATCTCAGTCTCTCTTGTCAGCTGGCTTCTGGCTGCGCTTGGCCAATGACATGTGCTGGTGGGAGACTGGAGGGCGGGAGAAAGGAAGAAGCCGGGGTATTTCTCCCCTCTGTCCACTCACAGGCGCCTTCTTTAGGAGCCAGAGAGGCTCCTCCTCTTCACCAGCTCCGGCCAGAGAAGCCCACTGAGGCTCCAGTGTCCACAGGCGGCCCCAGCCCCTGAGCTCTGGTAACGCTGCATCCTCCCTCTGTCCCTCCAGCCCTGGGGAGACAGTATGTCCTTGTTGGTGCTTATATCTGAGTTACTTCACCCTCCTCTATTTCACTTCTTACCTCTTCCGTCACCCAGGTAGCCACTTCTCTGTCATTAACTCCCTCTGCTGTGTACGCTTGAAGAGGTTTCTGATATCCTGCTTGGGCCTTTGGAAGGAGGAGTGTCTGAACTCAGAGTTAAGAGAACCCCATTCTTCTAAGCTCCACCATCCACTGGCCACGTGGCCAGTCAGTCCTTGTGACCCCCAGTTTCCTCATTTGTAACAAGGGCTAAGAGCACCCATCCTGCTTCTCTCAGAGGATCATTGTGGGAGTCCAACAAGCTAAGCCATTCATACATTCACCGAGTATTTGTTGAGTACCTGCCCCATGTGGAGGTGCAGAGGATAGGTCAGGGAACAAAACAAATAATGCCCCTGTTCTCAGGGGTTCCAGTTAGTAGTACTAGCTGTGCTTGTGAACTGCAAAGTGCTGTATAAGGCTAACAGGAGAGGATGACCTGACCTCCTTAACCCCTGGGGACCCTTGGGGATGCCCAGAGCTTTCTGGCCCACTTGCTGGGAACCCCACCCCTGCCCTAGGGTAGGGTGGACTGGCCAGTTGATGCAGCGACGTGCAGTGACATGTGCCCAGTGACCTGACCGGCAAGCTGAGCCCCCTCCTCCCAACCAGACCCAACCAGGGTGTTTTGTTTGTGTGTGTCTGTTAGCGTGCTGGAGCACGCTTTAATTAACTGTAAAGGATTAGCCTGATTCTTCTGCTGTACTAGGTTTTTTTAAATGGTTTTTATTTGGTGTTATTTGAAGTAAGTGTGCTATCGACTAAAGCCTGCAAATCTTGTTTATGCCTAGATTGTGTTTGAAATGGTCTTCTCTGTAACACGATCTTTAGTTATGGATGACCTCTTTTATAATGATTTAGTCAGCTTCGTTTGAATGATAGTATTGATAACAATACGTGGCCAACAATCTGTTTGCAACAATATTCCAAGAGGCAAAAGAAAAGCAATTTGTGCACATGTGGAAAATAGGTAAATTTGCCTTTTTTAAGCAAGCATGAAAATGGAGCATATTAATTCTGGTTCAACACTTCTCACAGCCAGAGTGTTTTCATATGGTGTCTCTTGCATTGTCCTGTGGAAAGAGTATTTCCATCCCCATTTTAATGACAAATTTACTAAGACTTAAACAAGCAGGTTGAGTACCTACCTACTCACCCAGGTAGGTAATGACAAAACCAGAATCAGAAGGGCAGGTGGAAAAAAGAGAATAAGCACACACAGGTCCTTTTTAAGGCATAGTATTCTCCCTGAGCCTCAACTTTCTCATCTGTAAATGGGAGTAATAACTGAGGGCAGCGCTGGGGGTTAAACGAGAGAGTGTGTACAGTAGCAGCACAGTGCCTGATATGCAGTGGTTAATGAAGGATGGCTCTAAAGGAAGGCAGTGCTGGCTCCTCACCAAAAGCTTCTTACCACCTGTCTCCTTGCTTTCTGCTCTCTCTGCAGATGACCATTCCCGAGTGAGGCTGCTGGTGCTGGATGGAGACCCACACTCTGACTACATCAACGCCAACTATATTGATGTGAGGGTCTTCATGGGTTGGGCAGCCGGGGTCTGGGGTGGACAACAGCAGGCTCAAGATCTGTGGCTGTCCCCCACTCTCTCCCCAACAAGGTGGCCCCCCAGAACATGTCCAGAGTGGTCTGGCTCCTCCCTGATCGTGTAACTAGTATAACCCAAGTTGGTTATCCATCTAAAGCTACATCCTCTTTCACACTGGCTGCAGGAGCCTGCTCTGCAGGGCCCTAGGACAACTGCCAATCTTGTTCCTTCTAAGTCACCTGTATGTGTGTCTATTGTCCATTCATTCATTCTTTTGAAGGTATAGCCATTTATGCAGCAAAAATTTAAAAGTGCCTACTGTATGCTGGATGCTATGGGAACCATAAAGCTAAAAATGCCATGGTCTCTACCCTCTAAAACCTTAGCAGGAAGCTAAGCTGTGCACATCAATAATTCCAGGGCAAACTAGAAAGCGATAAGTGTCATAAGTTCAGATAAAACGCTGCAGGGATTCAGAGGTGAGGGAAAACTCACTTCTTCCATCAGGAATGCACAATGTGATGTGAACCAAAGCTTCAGGCACAGGTAGAATTTAAAATCAAAGAGGGGGAAGATGGGCCTCTGGTTCGAGAGAACAGCACAAGCCAAGCTGTAGCAGCTAGAAGCAGAGGATATGTAGCGGCTCAGTGTGAGGGGAGCAGAGACTATTAATGGGAATAGTGGAAAATAAAGTGGAGCTAGATCTTTGATGGTTTATGATCAAACTTAGGAAGTTGGAGTTTATCCTGTAGGCAAGAGGAAGCGATTGAAAGTTTTTGATCAAGGAGGTTACCAGTTGGGAGCTGAGCTTTGGATGATTTATCTGTCACTGGAGTAAGAGAGATCAGAGGGAGGAGAGTCTGGAATTAAGACACCCAATTAGGGAAGGGGCTGCTTCAGGATTTCAGAGACTGTTGAGGAAGAGACTAAATACAACAGGAGCCAAGATGGATTCCCACGGACATGAGAGAGTTTGCAAAAGAGGAGCATGGCCACTGGGGCCAGATGGACATCCTAGCGTGACTGATTCAAGCCAGGCTTCTCAGGACCTCAGCTAGGAGCCCAAGGGCCTTGATGAATGGCTCAGAGATGCACCTTGGTCCCTCTGATTCCCAAGTGTGTTTATAGACAAGCTATAAAGTTCAGTGGCATGCTTTTGAATTCCCCATAATCTAGGCTGAGCCAGGTGATTCATTAATTCAACAATTATTTTTTGAGCCTCGTTTTGGTCATTTGCCTGTTTTCCCTCAGATCTATTCCTTGTCCTTCCCCACTCTGCTTTGCAGGTGTGTGGGTGTATGGGTGTGTAGTGCAGGGATGAGAGTGAGCTGGCCCCTTCAAGGGAGGCACTGATGGGAGATTGCAAGGTGAAAAGAAGGGAGAAGCCAGTGTGTTTCTCCTCCTCTCTCACGTCCTGGGGTAGCAACAGCAGCAGTGGCTGTATCCCATCTGCGGCTCCAGCTTCCATCAAGCAAGCCCATCAGAGTTCCAGCTTGGCCAGATGGCCCCAGCTCCTGGGCTCTGACAGCTTCTGTCTCCCATTATCCCACTAGTTTTAGCAGTGGTCACAGCCTCCTGCTGTTGCCAATCTCTGGGTCACCCCACTGTCCACTGTTTATCATCTCAGCACTCCCATCAGCTGTATGACCAACTCCCTATACTGAATTCCCTCTGTGTGAAACACCTAGGGTGGTTTCTAGTTCCATGCCTGGACCCTGGCTAACAAGGGGCCTACATGTGGTCAGGAACTGGGGCTGGGGCTTCAGTGGAGGTCGTGGTCTCTGTCACTATGGCCTTTCTGGGAAAGTTCACAAGGACATGGCCAGTTTGGAACAGCCTGTCTCCAGCCCGGAACAAAACACCCTGAGTATTCACCCTTCAGCCTTTCCCTCCTGCATCTAGTATTCATTTCACAAACACTGAGCAGATCCTCCACAGTGTGCTGGAAATACAGACCTTAAAAGGGACTCAAGTCTGGTGAGAGAATCAGATAAGAAAAGAGTCCTCACAGAGCAGGGGCTATGGGAACATAAAGGAAAATCAAAGCCTCAAGGTGGGGATGGGGTGATCAGTGAAGCCTTCCTGGAGGAGGTGACACAGTGCTGCCTTAGCCAACGAGTAAGAATCAGTCAAGCAAGAAGGTAACCTAAGAACTATTGATCACCTCTCATGTACCAACATTATCTTAACTAGTACCACAACCTCACAAAGTAAGTCTCATTACTACCCATTTCCAGATGAGTAAGCTGAGGTTCTCAAGGTCATGTAACTTATCCAGGCTCACACTGCTAGGAGGTGAGGGAAGAGGGAGCAGGCATCTAAATCAGGGGTGCCTTCCCCACCATGCCCTGCTGGCTTTAATGATAACAGTAAAGCAATGACAATAGCCAGTGGCTCTAAATTAGTCACTCCGGGACCCTATGATGAGTCAGTTTATTGAGACTTCTCAACAGCCCGCCAAGGTAAGTAATCACCCCCATTTTCCAGATATGGAAGCTGAGATTTAAAGAGGTGGCAAAGCTTATCTAAGGGCATGCAGCTTGTCAGTGGCAGAACCAGGCTAGGAACCTCAGACCTGAATGACTCCCAGCCCAGGCTCTTCCTACTGCCCTCCTCCCCTTCTCCCGGACACACCTTGCACCCAGCACACAGTGGGGACCCAGTCAGCACGTGCTAAACCATATTGAGTTGGTTCCCACCATTTCTCCTTGACCTTGTCTATGGCTGAATGGATGCGGCAGCCCCGAGGGCCATGGCTTATGCGGGGTCGGCAGCCCAAGTTGCCACATCTGGCATTTGTTATCTGAGTGGTGACCTCCAGCAAAAGTCACTTTCCTAGACAGACACTCAATCCAAAGTTGAGTGAGCATCTGAGTGCAGTCAGAGCCAAGACACAATTTGGTATTTTATAGGCAACAAATGAAATTGCTTTAAATGCAAGTGAATCTTCGCAACATCAGTACTAATAACGTCTCCCAGTTCTATCAGGTTCTATCATTACAGTGCATTCTGCAAGCCTTTAAGGATAAGAAACCAGGGGTCAGGGTTAAGAGCCTTGTTCAGGTCACACAGCTAGAATCCAGTTCTCTGCCCACCTGGGACACACCACAGCCTCCTCCCTCTCTCTTTAAGTAGATTGTGCAGACATGCCAGACAGCCTCTGCTAGATGCTGTCTTAATATGTGATGCTGGATCCCAGTGGTTAGAGTTAAGGGCTCACAAGACCAAAGTCATGAGTTCAGTCTTTGTAGAGCCTGTTGAATCCAGACCTTTCTGCTTACTAGCTTTATGATCTTAGATAAATTATTTACACATTCTGATATCTGTAAAATGGGATAATAGTGCTACCCCACAAGAATGTGATAAGTGATGTAAAGTATCTATCTGTTAGGGTCCCATTGGGAAACAGAAGCTCACTCAAAGGGAGGAACCCAGGAGAGTTTAATAAGGGTGGGAACAAGATTAAGGGAATCCAGCAGGGTGGGGTGTGGTATCCCTGGGCTAGCAACTGCAGGGAGCTCCAGGCTTAGAGAGGGAGAGAGTAACTATAAGGAGAGGGCTACCTGGTAGGAGCCGTAGCCTGTGATAGAGTGTCAAGGCTGACCCATGGTGACCTGATAGGTCACCTCCCCAACCTCCGCATGGCCTGTGAGCTCCTGCTTCTGTTCCCCATTGACAGAACCCAACTAGAAGCCAGAGGGCATGGAAGCGCATGGTGTAGTCCACACAGGCCAGCCTCCCATGGCACAAAGCAAAGCGTGGAAAGGAAGAGAGGGTAAATGGAGGGACAGAGAAGACACCAAGCACAAACACCTCCTAGCACGGTATTACCAACATGGGGTGGAGGGTAGGGGAATCACATTAATCGCGAACCTACCATATACTCCAGCAAAGTTAAAATTCCTGGGGTCTCTAGGGGGATTCCTGGCAAGACACACCCGAGTCACCTATCTAGGTCCTCACCCCTTTGCCCTGGTCTCCACCCCAGCTGAAATCTTCGTTGCTCCCCAAAGAGCTAACTGCCCACGCTAGAATCATTTATCCACAATTGGATCTTGACGATCCCTTAAAATGACTCCATTTAGAGAATGAGCTGGATGGGGCCAGCCCTGTCTGTGCCTCCAGAGGCCGTGGTTCTGCTCCTGTCTGAACCATCCCGCTGGCGGGTTTGTTTGCACACCCACCATATATTGGCCACTTGAATCTGTTATAAATTACCAGTCTGGAAATAAATATCGTATCTGGGGCTCCAGTAAGTAACAGATGCGTGAGTGCAGAGTGAGATAAATGCGTTTTGGATGTGAACCTCTTCCCATTGCTCACAGACAGATGGAGGCAGGCCCAGTGCTGGTTTGCAGTAGAGCTGCATGCTGTGTAGGTGGGACTTAAATGAACTCGAAGTTCTTTTAAGGTTAGGAAGTTTTCTGTACCAGCTCTTGGCAAATCCCCAGAGGAGTCCCAATTGAGCAATACATTTCCTTTTATCTCCAGTGCTGAGGAGTCTCATGGTTAGAATGTTTTCTCTTTGGGGACTGCATGGGATCTTGGAGGCCAAAGAGGGTCTCTTTACTTAGATGCAGTGTGCTGTGAGGAAAGGCGCGCAGCATGCATGCATTCATTCATTCGATATGCATTTATCATGGCTGATGGCCCAGGCACACTTCTTTGTGCTGGGGACACAGCCATGAACAAGACAGATACAGCCCTGCCCTGTTGGAGCGCTCATTCAGCTGGGGAAACAGACACTAACCATGGAAATAAACAAAGAACATTATGCCATTTGGTGATAGGTGCCCTAAAGAAAAGTAAACCTGGGAAAGCTGAAAGAGGTTGACAGAGTGGTAGAGAAGGGCTGCCCCCAGAGGTGACTGACAACGGAGCAGAAGCCTGGATGGAGGGAGAGAGCAAACCACTGGGTGATCTGGGGACAGACATAGCAGGCACAGGGAATGGCCAGTGCTGAGACTCTACATGGAAACATGACTGCTATTTCTGAAGAAGAGCAAGACAGCCAGTGAGCTGGGGGAGAGGGGTAGGAAACAGAGACCATTCTGAAGGGATGGAATGGGAACCACAGGGATGTCGAGATGCCCAAACTAGGCTTAAGAGGCCAATTCAACCACCACCACCTGAGAGAACACTTCTCTGGCCTCCTTGGCTGAGTCAGCTCCCCCTGGGAGCTCCACAGAGCCCCACATCTTCGCCTTGGGAGCCCTTATCCCAGTGAGTCCATAAGGTGCTCAAAAGCAGAGCTCACATCCATCTGGTCCACTTCTGCCTTTCCAGTGCCTTGTACACGATAGTAGGTGCTCAATTAATACCCGTTGATTGAATACTGAATGCCTGAGCTAACAAATAAATGAAAATAGTGAACCCAAGTCATCTCACCCCACAACCGAAATGGGAATTTCTTGCTCAGAATTTCACCTCGTTGACTTTCAAGCACATTAGAATCTTCCAAATCAGTTTTCTCCAGAGTCTTTTGTCTTCCAGCCTGTGCATTAAGGGAGTACCCCAACCTTACCTCAAAGACATATCCATGCATGTATGCTACCAACCAGCCTCTCCTGAAAACTGCACCCAGCTCTGAGTGGCATGTCCCATGGCCCAGGAGGAGAAAAGTACAAAAAATGTATTGCAGCACATGCTGTAAGTGTGTTAATCAGGTGTATACAAAGCCCTGCAGGACCACTCGAGAGGAAGGAGGTCTCATCTGAAGTGTGGTGTGGGGAAGCTGGGACACAAGGTACATAGGAGGGGATGGAGAGGGACAACTAGAAGTAAGGAAATGAAGCTGGAGATGAGGATGGAGACAGATGATTATTTCCAAGCTTAGACATTTAGATATTATCTTGCAGGCAATGGGGAGCCATTGCAGGCTTTTAAGTGGGGAAATAACATAATCAGATGTGTGTTGGGAAGTTCACTCTGGCAGGAAGCAGATGGGCTGTGGGACCAGACTAGAGGCAGAGAGGTCAGCAAGAGACTGGTGTCATGGCCCAGGTCAGGGAGGACGAGGGCTGTGAGGAGTGATGAGGGGGATAGCAGAAGAGGGTGGACTTGAGGAACCACATCTTCCCAGGCTCTAGGAAACTATTTCTATTCCCAAACCTACTCAAGAAAATCCTCGGTCTAATTCCCCCTGTGAGCTTGGGAAGCCCTGCCCATCTTGACTTAGAGAAACAGATCACTCTTCCTACCTCTCACTTTGCTTCCTACCTCTGTCTCAGAGAAGGGCTCAGTTACTGCATTCATAGGCAGAGCAAGAGTGCAGAGGGGAGGGCAGTACTTACCATCTCACAATCTCCCTAGTGGCCAGCATAGACTTTTAGTTGAGGTAGGCATTCAATAAATTGTTTGCCAGATAAACAATAAAATAATAATAATAGTAAAGACATATATGTTAAATCTTAGGATAGTGCCTGGCATCTAGTAACTATCTTATATTAACTCTTTTAATCCCAGCAGCTACGCTATGATGTAAATACTATTATCCCCATTTGACAGCAAAAAATAAATTGAGGGACAACAAGATTAAATAACTTGCCCCAGACCACACAGCCTGGAAGGGGCGGAGCCAGGATTCAAACCCAGGCAGTTAGGTCCACAGTCTGTGCACATAACCACCCTGCTGTGATGCCTTACTAGTTGGTTTGTCAGTAGCTTGTCTATTGGGCATTTGCTCTGAGTCTCACACTATGCTAGGCTCTGTGGGAATTTTTTATTAAACTTCAGGGGTGGTGTTTGTCTTCAAGAAGCTGACAACATCACTAAAAAGATAGGACCACTCAAACAAAGAGTTTAGATGGGGTTCTTGATTCCTATGTGGTTAATCCAGCTGTTCTGGCCTTGGGTTCATACTGACAATCAACGCAGGTATTCCTAGAGTATGTTGAGGAATTAGGAGGTACCTACTAAATATTTATGGAGCAAGGGGAATGAGGAGAAATGTACAGGGGACCCTAAAACTAGTCTTTGAATCAGAAAGTGCATCCAGAACTTCAGAGATGCCATATCTATTTCACCATAAACCAGACAGATGGTAATTCTGGCTTATTTCCTGAAGAAGGGGGTCTTGAGTCAGCTCATCCATCTTGACAGGACTGATCACCAACGTTAAAGACAAAAATAGATATTCATCAAACTTTAGGACTTGATGGTTAACCATAAAGGAAAGTGGATTTCAGGGCTGTCAACAACCGCTCCACCAATAATTCTCCATAATTGGCATCTGTATTTTTTTAAATTTATCCATTGATTTATTCATTCACTCATTTATTCATTCAATAAATACTAATTACATTCAATGTTATGTACTAAATGCAGATCTATTTCCAAAACTTGAACTTCTACCCAATATGATATACTTCCTCTCTGTAACAGGAAAGGGGACCCTCCAGGTATGCTACGGCCAGGCAAAAGAGATCATCTTCAACTTCTTCCCCAGTGATTAGGATTATGGAGCACCAGAAACACCCCACACCAGAACACAGCAGGCATATTGGAGCACTCTGAAATGTACAGGGCAATCATAAACTGGTCTCTGAATCAGAGAGTGGCTTTATGAGTCTCTGGATCATACTTGCACGGGATCCTTCCCGATGAAAGGGACTTTAATTCCAAGCCCATCCGTGTCACACAGAGAGGCAGTGTGATTTCATTCCCAGTTTTCTTTTTCTAATTGTTACTAATGCAAAGAGCCAAGAATGCAATTGTTTTCTTCTCTCAGGTGCCTTACAAGGCCTCGTGCAGTGTTCCTCATATAATCGTGGCTCAGGAAAGACTTTTTGGGGGTTGATGTCCCGCAGAAACCTGAAAATTCTTTCTACACCTCTTTCTGGGTACATGAGCATAAATGATGCCTGGGCAGTTTTCGCACCCAGTCCACTAGCTCCAGGGAAAGCCTGCATGGGCACCTCACAAGTAACTATAATAATAAACATTTAGTGATTTAATCAGCACTTAACATGTATTATCTTATTTATTCTTTGCCACTTCTCTGGGATATGTCTAATGCTATTCTCATTTTGTCTGTGAGGAAACCATGTCTTAGAAAGGATAACTATTCGTATTACACTGTTTGCAACCTTTGACTGGGCGCTTTTCACTGTGCTTTTCTCTTGTTATTCAGGGGTACCATCGACCTCGGCACTACATTGCAACTCAAGGTAAGTGCCCTCCTTTTCCTCTAAAGGGCCCTTGCCCTTCACTGGAGGAGAGGAATGAGCTTCTACCAGTACAGAGGTCGCATGAGAGTAGGACTGGAGAGCCTCCAGAGGTCCTTGAGATTGTTCATTTGTTTGTTTGGGAAGGAAGGAGGTGACAAGTTCAGCTACAGCCGGGAAGGACGTGAGTGAGAGAGGAAGGAGGTGTCGCTAGCAAATAATCAGGCAGGACAGACCAAATGCATCAGCCTCAGGCCTGTGCTGTCGATATCCACCGTCCAGCACTGGAGCTGACGGTGCCTCATCTCCTCAATGGGTGTGCGCCCAGAAGAGAGAAGCGGCCGACTGTCCTAGAAAGCATCTTGCCAGTATGTTATCAGAAGGCTTAGAAATGATCACACTTCTCAAACCCTTCTGGAAGGAAATCCTGTGGATAATTATATATGTGGACAGTGACTTATCTATAAAGATTCTCTTCACAGTGTTATCTGTAATAGGAAAAAAGTGGGAAATCTTAAATGCCCAACAACTGGTAGGTTGGTTAAATAAAGTATGATACTTCCATATTATATAAAATTATGCAGCTATGAAAAATATCGTGCTTGGTAAGAATTGTTAAGGGCATTGGAAAATGCGTATCATATATATGAGGCTTGTTACAGTAAATACCTACATATACATATATACACAGAAAAATGGCATTCAAAATTTTATATCAAATGCATGTATGACCCTTGTAATTTTAAAAATGATGAAGGCCCAAGAAATGGAAAGAAAAATTTCTGAGAAAATTGCTTTGGACTCTCAGATCCTATCTCCAATTTCCTCTCTATTTTTTGTCCTCCTTTCTGTCTGGGCTGCAGATGAAGGCTTCTAGCATTTGTCAACCTCAGAATCAGGCATTCTCTGTTTGTGCTCTCAGCATCTGGCTCCTGGCAGATCTCTTCTCTCCCACCCTCCCCACCCCAATTTCCTTCCTGTCTCTCGTTGAGGTTCTGGAGCCCAATTTTTGAAAATCCCCCTAAGTTATATTATTAACCCATAATATAGTCCAGATAAGGTGATGGGTCAGTGGGGAAGTGGGGCTGGTGGAAAGGGTCTGAGCAGGACAACAGAGGGAAGAGGAGAAGCTGTCGACGTTTCCCATGGATGCTGCAGACCTTGCAAGTTTGGAATGTGGCTTTTCTTATCCATACTCTGACTTCACATGCCATGGGCCCCAGTCTCAGCTACTTGGGTGTCCCAACGAGGATCACTTGGCCTCACCCTTGCTCACCTATGTGGAGCCTTGACTGATCAACCAGCAGGGACAGCCTCTTGGCTGCTTCCTGGACTTGTAATCTTTGACCCTGTCACCTTCTCTGTTGGCAGGTCCAATGCAGGAGACTGTAAAGGACTTTTGGAGAATGATCTGGCAGGAGAACTCGGCCAGCATCGTCATGGTCACAAACCTCGTGGAAGTGGGCAGGGTAAGCCCCTCCTGCAGTTACCTGGATAGAGGATGCTGGCGTTGCGCTCCTGAGCATCTCTCTGTTCCATGCATTGTGTCAAGCCCCTTCTATTCAATATTTCACCCTCATAGCAACCTACGTGGGAGAGATCTTCCCTCCTATTTCACACTCAAGGAATGTCCTTTCCCTTCAAACTCTCCTCATCCTTTTCTCCACCCTCCCTCTCCGTTGATGATGTCATCTCATATAGTTTGAGGAAGTTAAAGCCATCAGACATGAACTCTCTCATCTTCACCCCATGAAGCTGCAATCCTACTTGTATCTACAACCGTCTTCTCATTCTTCCCCTCTATTATGAGGTTGAGCCATAAAATATGGCTGTTTTTGTTGACCCCAAAAAGATAGAATATCAGCCGTTTCCTATGGCTCAGCCTTATACGATGAAAGAAGTGACTTTTGCACTTTCAAAGGTAAGCCTGGTGCCTTGAAAAACAGATTTTGCTCAAAAGTTTTCTCATCTTCCCCTCTCACTTGAAAAATATGTCTCTTTCTCATTGCTGGATTATTCCCCTCAGCGTACAAACATGCTGAGTACCTTCCCCCTTAAAAAGAGAGACCAGCAAACAAAGATGATTCTCTTGTCTCTGCTTTTCTGCCAAACTCTAAAGACACACACACAGGCTCTGTTTCTTCAAGCCCACGTAGTGATACTGTCACCCCCTCCATTCCACCCATAGTGATATCGTCAACATCACCAGCATCCTTCATGTTGACAAATCCAACAGCCACTTCTCTCTTCCCATTGTACTCAACCTCTCAGCAGCATTCAACCCTGTGCTCCCTGCTCTTCCTCCCCTGACCCCTAAAGCTTCATGTTCTTCAGGGTTCAGGCTTTGGTCTCCCCCTCTGCTCTATCTCAACTCTCCCCTATGCGGTCCTTAGCTACTCCTAGGGCTTAGAAATGGGACTGCTATTCCCAGCTTGCTTCTGCCTACTTGGTAAACTGTGCCATGTGGGTGGGTGGGCTGCTGGGTTTAGAGGCAGGTGCACAAACACCAGACATAGGAGGGCCTCTCTACTTACCACATGAACTAACTAAAGAGTGGGCACGTAAATTTTTGGTTTGACGAGAACCAGCTAATCCATTAAAATAAGGAGTCCTGGCCTCCAAGATAATGGGAAAGGGGGAATCTGGGTTGTCAGTCATAATCCAGTAAAAGGGTGTAGACATCTCGTGGCCTCATTGGAACTGAGGGCCAGGAGAGACTTCATCCTTGAGCCCACTCTTACGTAGTCCATTCCCAAGTTTTACAGATGAGGAAATAGACCCAAAGGGGTGGAGTAACCACCCTGAAGTCACCCAGCCATAACCAAGCCACAGTCTCTGACTGTTGACTCTCATTCTAGTGCCCATTGTCCCTCCACTCACAACTGCTCCCCAGGGACAGAGGCCCAAGGTGTGGCCACTTTGGACAAAAAGGCTAGCCCAGTATGTAAGAACTCAGGGCCAAATTCAATAACACATCCTGCATTGGAGACAGATTTCCTTGATGGGTAGATCCTGAATCTAATTTGGACTTGGGGAGGGGACAGGAAAGCAATCTCTTAATGGAACTCCTGCTAGAAGCCAAGCACTGCCCCAGATTCTTATTGTGCATCACCTCATTTTATCTCAAGACAATGGTATGAGGCAGTGTTCCTGGTAATTATTCAGACGGCCTGCCTCCGCATCCTGGCTCCATCCCTTACCAACGAGTGACCTTGGGCAATTTTCTCAGCCTCCCTCTGCTTCCAATTCCTCATCTGTAAAATGGGGATAGTAATAATATCTACTTCATCAGGTTGTGATGATAAGTAATTAAACTAATACATGTAAAGGATTCATAGAAGATATAGTAAGCAGTCAACAGAGTTGGCTATCATTATTAATAGGAAGCTGAGGCTCAGAGAGGTATCAGCACTTTCTGGAAGCTACACAGCTACTGAGTGTTAGATCCAAGCAATGCATCCATTTGCCTCCAAAGCCTGTTGTGCTATGCCAGCGTTTCCCAAAGTGGGTTCCATGGGATGCTAGTCTGCAGGATGCTTAGTGAGAAGAGGGTTCCATGGTTAAATACGTTTGGGAAATGCTGTGTACTCTTTGACCCTTTTGGAGAGCGGTAAAACACGTTAACATTAGCACATTAAATGAGCTGAGAAGTCCTTTAGCAAAGCGGCCTGTTTAACTTTGTTTAATCCAGCATTTCCCAAACTCATTTGACCACAAAACCTTTTTTTCTTTGTTTTTTGTTTCTTGTTTTTTTTTTATCTAACACCTATTAGCACCCAGCGGAACACACTGTGGGAAATGCCACTCTGGGCCGCGCGGCGTCCCCCGGAATGGTAATGCTTTTGTTCTTTTAAGGGGAAAACAATGATGATCTCTTTTTCTTCCTGCGGAGTGTGACTTAGAGTGAAATGTGGGAATAGCTTGTTCGTAGCATCCGCACCCACCACCCAGGCAGAGAGCAGTTGCAAAGTCTTCCCTTTGAGGCCAGCGCCTTCCATCCTTTCCCCAACTAAGAGCCTTTCTCCTTCCAGCCCCTGATTACCACCTCTTAATAGTGTCCCCTCCCGACCACTTCTGCTTCCCCCTCCTCACTGTCTCCCAGCTTTTACTCTCATCTCTGCTCAGCTGATATCACTCAGCTGCCCCAGCCTGGTTTAGCAGAAAGAGGACCCAGCCCAAAATAGAACTGGCCACGTGACCCTAGACAAGTCACCAAACCTCCAAACTTGAGTAGTATTTTCATCTGTAGAATGGGGCTAACACCACCTGCCTATCTCACCTGGATCTATTTGCTCACTTAGTGTGATGATGGATTTGGAAACTATATGGAGCTCTGCAAAAGAAGGTGCTCCCATGATTCCTGATGGGTCCAGTTCCTCTAGGAGTAAGCTTGGCCCTGTGCACTTGGCTGATCCCTGGCCGACTGAGAGCCCCTTGGACTGAAATTCCTCCACAGTAGTCTGCGGGTTTATTTGAATGGGAAGACCAGATGAGGTGGCTGCTCGCACTCAGCCACCTGCTCATCCGTCCTCGTCTCTGTCCTTTCTCACAGGTGAAGTGTGTGCGATACTGGCCGGATGACACAGAGGTCTACGGAGACATTAAAGTCACCCTGATTGAAACAGAGCCCCTGGCAGAGTACGTCATCCGCACCTTCACAGTCCAGAAGGTAAGTTTCCCTGCGCTGTCGGCAGCCTGTCCACTGCGACACATAGTGAACGAGGGTCTGCTCTGTGCCCCTTCTGTGCTTGGCGTCAGGGGCAGATCAGCAATCCAGTTAGATGTGGATCCTGCTCCAAAGGATCCCACCTCTGGCGGAAGGGACAAACAGAATTCCACAGACAAATAAATGGAATAATGGCACATGGTGGGAAAAACCACAAAAGAAACATGTCCCAAGTGGAGACGGGAAGATGAGGTGGTCAGAGAGGGCCTCCTGGAGGAGGAGGCATTTAGGCAGACAAAGGATGAGAAGGAGCTAGCCGAGGGAAGAGCAGGAGGAATGCTCTCCCAGGCAGAGGGAAAGAAACGTACAGCATCAAGGGGAAAGATTTCAACATGTTCTAGGCCTGTGGTTCTCAACTGGGGGTGATTTTGTCCCACGAGGGACACTTGGCAATGTCTGCAGATATTTTTAGTTGTCAAAACTGAGGAAGGAGGGGTGCTCCTGTCATCTAGTGGGTAGAGGCCCACGATGCTGATGAACATCCTACAATGCACAGGGCAGCCCAGCCTCCAACCACAAAGAAAGATCTGGTCCAAAATGTCAATAGTGTCAGGGTTGAGAAATGCTAGTCTAGGCAGGGAAAGGAGGCCAGGGTGGCAGGCGCTTGATGAGCAAGGAAGAGATTGCAAATAGTTATTATTATATTTATAATTTAATTATTTAATCGTTGTTTTATATCATTACTATTATATTATAATGATAGCTAACATTTATCGAGCCCTTACTAAACCAGGTCCTTTTCTAAATGCTTTGCATAAATTAACTCATTTAATCCTCCCAAACACCCCTTGTGGTAGGTACAATTATTACTCCCATTTGACAGATGAAAAAGCTGGGCACAGAGCATTTAAGTCAGTTGCCCATAGTTGCCCAGCTGCAAGGTGGCTGAACGGGGTTCCTACCTCAGCCCTGACCTGAAGCTCGTTGTCGCTTCCCCCACACCATAGTTGCTGTTTTCTAAAGCAGTGGCATTAATGGACCAAGGGCCCACAGGCCTGAGGACGCAGAAGCACTGGGGCTTCACTGCTTTGAGAGCTGTGCTGTTGGGTTTGACAAGTCCTCGTGAGGGCCAAAGCAGGTGTACGCACAGTGCCATTCCCGCGAGCCTGGTTGTGGTACAGGGCACACTGCTCCCGGTAGCTCCCCCTCCAACCCCCATGCTCCTGAAGGCCTGCATCTATAGACTCGGGTGAAGAGCCAGGAGGGAAGGGCACCCCTGCACTGCAAGGAGGAAAACAACAGGTACATCCATGTGGTATTAGGTCGGGTTCCTTGGACGCAGAGCCTGAGACAAGGATTCGGGTGTACATGGAGTATCAAGAGAGTGCTCTCAGGAGAAACTTGTAAGAGGGGGAGGGAAGCAGGAGAGGGAAGGGGAAGGGGCCAGGCAAGGACAGAGTCTCTGGTAAAGTCTGGCCTAGGCCTGATCCATGGGGGCCTCCAGAGTGTAAGCCACACCACAGAATTGACTCCCTTGAGGCAACAGCACCAGACTTTTGTGCCACCATATCAACCAGTCCACGGAATGTGGACCAGCCACTGAGGGGTAACCTCCAGAGTGAGCTGGCTCCTGTTGGCTGAGGGTGTTTCTCCAGAAAAGGGAGACTCACTAGCAGCCAGCACTCCTGGACATACCACAACAAAGAGGACACCAAGCTTGTCTACCACAGATACAGTCAGTGCCAGGAAGGAGAGGAGTAGCTGGGACGTGGTGGCCCATCTTGGGACCCAGACTCTGAGCAGGGAGGCCTTGGAGAATTGCAGCCAGCCCAGCGTGTTGAGGAGTCACCATCCTTTCTCGGGGTGTCTTCTTGTTTTCCCTTCAAACGATCACAGGGAAGATATTACTCATGAGAAGACACCCTTAAAAGACCCCATGGGCCTCGGAGGATTAACTCAACTTAGCTAGCCTCTCCACAGCGTGCAGGCGGGTGGTCAGCATACACGGCCCAAGTTATTAGCTCAAAATCGGTTCCTGAGCTGGGGACCCAGAAATAATAAACAGGAAGCACTGTCTGCCCTTGAAGCGAGCGCAGTCCCCTCAGGGAGAGAGGACCCTTGATAAACAGTCACAGCGCAGGTGGTGACAGCTGGATCATGGGCTCCCAGGGCTGAGTTGGAGGATGGAGTGAAAAGCTCCAAGTATTCTTGAAGTTGTTTTCTCTTCTGCTTCAGTTCGTCCGTCAGTGCCTTAATCTGGGCCTTTGTTCACTCCCGCCCGGACTTGGGCAGCAGCCTCCTAACAGGGCTCTCTGCCTCCAGTGTCTCCCTGTCAATTTGGATTTCTGAGAAGCAGAGCCTGAGGCAAGGATTTGGATGTCCTTGATGATGTGTTGAGGGAGAGCTCTGAGGAGAAGGGGAGTGCGGGAGGCAGGACAGGGCAGGGGAAGGAGCTGGGATGCGTGCGTCAGCCTGATCCCACAGGGAGCTCTGGGGCATGCATTGCACCACAGAGTTGATCCCATCTTGAGGCAAGGGGGTCTTTTGAACCCCTATTAGGGTAACTCATCATCCTGGCTTGTCTAGGACAATCCTGGCTCTGGCCCTGAAAGTCCCATGTCCTGGTAAACCCAGTCCTCAGCAAACTGACAAAGTTGGTTGGTCTCTCTCAGCCGCTGAATGACAGCTGCTCACACCCACCCCTGGGGGAAGTGGCTCCTATTTGACTGAGAGCAGTTCTCTGAAGAAGGGGGCAACTGTGAGCTGCCTGCAGCCAAGACTCAGTAGCAGGGAGTGGTGGGGGGATGCACTGACTCAGGAACAGGGATCTGGGTGGGCACCAACAGCATCCTCTACACAGCCCCCCAACACGCCCGCCCAAATCCACCCTCCACAGAGCAGCTGCGTGATCCTCCTGAAATGTGGGTCTGATGATGCACTGCCCCTTCTGTGCAACCATCTGTGCAGCCTCCTCGGAGCTGCCCAGGCCCTCTGGGATAAGGTCCAAGGGCCTTAAAGTGGGATTCCAGGCCTTCCAGGATGCAGCTCCCGCCCATCCTCCCACCTCCAGTCCCGATGTCCATCTTTGCCTGTCTTCCACTGCCCTCTGGAATCCTCCTGGGCTGCTTGTGATTCTGTGCACATATCGTGCTAAGTCCTGTCCCCATGCCTTTGCCCGTGCCATCCCTCTGCCTGGGAATCCCTCCATCTCTTCAACTGGGTAATACTCAGGCGTCAGTGTATCCTAATGATTAGGAACACAGACTGTGGAGCCTGACAGCCAGGGTTCAGATTGTAACTTCACACTTACTAACTGTGTGACCTTGGGCATATTACGTAACCTTGCCTAGCCTCAATTTCCTTATCCATAAAACAGAGATAACAATATGAAGATTCAATGAATTAATATATTGAAGTGTTCAGAAGAGTGACTGGCAGAGTCGATGCTTAATAAGCGGTAACTGTTATTTTCACTATTCATATGTTTCAAGACTCAGGTCAGGCATCACCTCCTCCAGGAAGCCTTCTCTGATTTCTCCTTTCCCCAGATGGGGTTGGCTGACACTCCTTTATGCACTTGAATAGAATCATCCACTTAGGAGCCTGCCTCGCCCACCAGACCATGAGCTGTTCCAGGGACAGGGTCTGTGGCTTTTACTTCCCCCTTCCTAGTGCCTAACACGAGGCTGGGCATAGATAACTCTCAGGGAATATTCTTTAACTGAAAGAATGAAGAATCAAACGCTCTTCCCATTCAGTGCTCTCAAATATCTGCAGGGGATTTTTAAGTAGAAAAAAGTAGGTGGGGGACCTGCATAAGCAAAGGCTCAGAGGTGTGACACGACGTAGAACAACCAGAGAACCGCCATGTGGCCTGGAGGGCATCTCTGTGAGGGGTGCTGAGAGGGGATGGGGACCACCCGGACCACTAGGCCCCACCACCCCCGTCAGTCAGAGAAGCTCGCTTTTGTTTGTTTCATATCTTATAATTCTAAATAAGAATCTAATTAATAAAGAAGTCTGCTCTGTTTTGTTTAATTTGAAAGCCACGGAGACTATCATAGACAGCACTGGAAAACTGGAGGACCCCAGATCTCAGTCACTGAAAGGCCTCCTATTCCACTGGAAACAGTTTGAGCATGATGTTTAAGGCCAATATATCTCTGAATCTGTTCGGCTGAATATAAGTCCCATGAAACCTGATCAAAATAGGGTCCTTTGGGCAAACACTGTGGGTGTTATATGCCACCTTGAGGATTCAGAATGTATATTAGCACACTAAAGGCTCTGAGAAGTCCTGCAATGAAGCAATCACTTTCACTTTATCGACTTCCGAAGTTCCTGGATGTAACAGATCACAGACTCTCTCTGCGTGGTAGCACCTATTAGCCCTTTGGAGAGGCTGGCTCCTCCATGCAGCAGCTGCCGCTCCCCAGGGGTGCTGGTCAGGGTGGGTGGGGGCAGCAGCTGGAGGAACAGAGGCCCGTTCTCTCCTCAGAAAGGCTACCATGAGATCCGTGAGCTCCGCCTCTTCCACTTCACCAGCTGGCCCGACCACGGCGTCCCCTGCTATGCTACCGGCCTCCTGGGTTTCGTCCGCCAGGTCAAGTTCCTCAACCCTCCCGAAGCTGGGCCCATAGTGGTCCACTGCAGGTAAGTGACAGCCCCCACTCTCAACCAGGGGGCTTCTGCAGCTCTGCTCTCTCAGGGAGGGAGATACTACCGTGTCCAGTGACCTTTATTCTTTACCTTAAAGACTCCCCTGCCTGAGTCCCCTATGCCCAACCCTTTCTGGTGAGTCCCAGGTCCCAAGGTCTAACTACAACAGTAGTAGTAACAGTAGCAGTCATTGTTATTGTTATTGGCCCTGAAATAGGAAAGCCGCCTGGGGACGTGGGCTCAGGCACTGACAGCGTCTGCTACAGGTGCATTTGACCCACGTGACTTCATTTACTTCTCGCCCAACTTGCGAGGTGGGCCTTCTTGTCATTCCCATTTTACAGATGAGAAAACCGAGGTGCTGGGAAGGTAGATACTTTGCTCGCGTCACACAGGTGTAAAATTGGAGAGCCGGGATATTTAACATGCTTTTCTCCAGACGCTCGCCCTCATCTCGTTGACATGGGAGCAAGGTGCCTCAGTGGAAGTGTGCTTCTCCTCATTTCTATTATTTTAAAAATCACTTGCTGGCCTTCAGGGTCCTTAATAGAGAGAAAGTGGACAGCGTCAGCCTTCACCTTATTATGGAGAAGAGATATTTTCAGCTCTGACTGAGAAAGTCACATTGGGAATGAGTGGCACGTCTTTGAATCCTCCTAAATGGAGATGAAGTGTCATGACAAGGACATTAAGAATTGGAGGAGGATGGACGTCCAGACCTGAAGGCCAGCTGGCCTGCATGCCCCCTCCTTCCCAATGCCTCTTTTCCAATGCGACCTTGGCCCCAGCCCGTCTTTTCAGACCCTATGTGCTGTCAACTGCATGCAGGTTGTCTCATCCCTGCCCTGGCAATGTCTACATCAGTCAAGGTCTTGAGTCAAGTCAAGGAGAGGCTACATAAACTGTGGATGTCTCAGAGCCAGCCCCTTTCTCACACAGCATCCGTTTACCCTCTCCACAACAGCAAGGTGTGAATTGGAAACCCCATTTCACAGATGAAGCAATTGAGGATTAGGAGGTAATACTCATCGCACACCCTGGGCTCTTTAAGCATTTTGCATATATTCACTGCTTTCCATCTCATGACGATCCAAAGACAATAGACCATTTGCCGCCAAGTCCCGTGTCCCAAAGAGTAGCCAGAGCAGGGGTCAAAGAGAAGGGGTGACAATGGCAAACATTATCAGACCCTCCTTGCCTGATGGCTCTATGTCTGTATCTCCGTAGCAAGTCCCCTTAATGCACCTGAGCAGAGTGGTACCCCCTCCTGAGGCTATGCTAAGGATGAAATGTGTTGGCTAACATATACTAGGTGCCTAAGACAATTCCAGACTTATCATAAGTACTTAAAACTATTACTATTCTCTGCCTCTTAATGTTGTCCCCCTCCCCCGACTATTAATCCTTCAGAACAGGAACCATGTCTTATTTCTTATTCATCTTCATGTCCTCTCTCCCAGTCCCAGCATCTAGCACATAACAGGTGCTCAAAAAATGTTTGTTGAATACAGGTAGCAACCATTTATTGAGAAATTCCTGTGTAGCCAGGCACAGGGCTAAGCAATTTATGTGCATTTTGCTTTCTCAACATAATTTCATGCCATTTACAGGTATTATGCTATTAGTGCTACATAGTGAGTCTGTTTATTATTATCAGCCTCATTTTATGGATGAGGGTATTAAAACACAGAGAGGTTGAGTCATTTACCCAAAGTCACACAACTACTAAGTGGTAGAGCCAGGATTTGATCCCAGGGGTCTGATCCCAAATGTGCTTAATTGTTTAATTAATTGCTTAAGTGATTAATTGCCATGTGATGCTGAAATAAACACAGCTCAATCCTCATGAGAACCATTCAGGGAGGCATATTAGACGTGTAAGAAAACAGGCTCACAGGCACCAGGCAGCTTGCTCACTGATGATAGATCCAAGATGCATAACCGAGGTGGGCTGGTTCTTACCCCTAAAACAGGTTGAGCATGAGACATCAGAGAAGGCGTGGATGAGTGACTTTTTCTGCTCCCTCCTAGACCCCAAGGCCCAGCCTGCTGAGTCCCTTCTGGGAGTCTGGATTGGGGGTGGGATGTGCTCTGGGGGAAATACAAGTCAGACTTAACTCAAGTCAAACCATGAAATTTTACCATGAATGAAGACTCTGCTTCCCACGGGTTTACTTTCCAAATCATCGAGGATGGATTTCCGAGGATTTACTATCCGGATCACTGTAGGTGATGGTCCCCTTGTATTTATGGCCTATCCTTGTATTTATGGTCAACCATATTGCTTTTCCTTCCTGTTCCATAACTCTTCCTCTTTTCATTTCTGTTCATTTCCACATTGTGAGACCAAGACATTTGTTTCCATGAGGGAAACAAGATGTGAAAACGCAGCCAAAGTGGACCTCCCTGCTAGTTTGGCTTTCACTTCCAAAACTATACGCATTTAAGACAAAGGTTCTTGTATTTGTCTCTGGTTCAACACCATGATTTTGGAACCCAGCACTGATCTGGGAAGGGCTGGCCTTGGTCCATGGGGTCTCGTTGAGGTCTTTTGCTATTTCGTACTTGGTCTGAGATTCTCCTAAAGGAAGCACGTGGTGATCAGAATCAAGTATGTGTCAGGAGACTTGATACCGGAACAGGGTCTCAGGACTGTCAGCTGCTCCAATTTACTGGTGCTCCTGCCTCATGATCTGGGGAAACAGGTGCAGGTGAAGCCAAACCCAGGGCTTGGGACGTGTGCCTCGGGACTCTCTGCCTTTGGGGCAGCTCAGAGGATCTGATTTCTGCCCTCTCACTAACTCCTCTCTGTTCTCTCTCGTCTCTCCTTCCTTTCTTCCATCCATCAACCCATTCGCTGAAGAAGACAAGAGAAAGAGAGATATGGAGGGAACTGGGGGTGGAGGGGGAAAGGAAGGAAAGAGATGCTCATTAGGTATCTCCAGTGTGCCAGGAACTATGCTAGATCCCTTAGAGATGGACTAGCTTCATGCATCAGATAAGGAAACTGCATGGATACGTGTTGTGTAAGCATGCACTATGTGCTATGACGATTATTGAGAGAGGAAGTACAAGAGCACAGACTCTGGAGCCAGACTGCTGGGTCAAAGTCCCAGCTCCAACACTTGCCAGCTGGGTGACTTTGGGCAAGGTAAGCTCTCTGTGCCTCAGTTTTTTCGCCTGTGAAATGGGGTGAGAAACTTCCCAACAACCTCGTAAGAGAATGAATAGGTAACATTGGTAAAGCACTTAGAACAATGTCTGGCACCTTGTAAGTGCTAAATGAGTATATGCTAAATGAGGACAACAAAAATAAGCTAGTCCTGATAAAAGAGTCCCCAAAGGCCAGCATCACCCTCCCATCCTACAAATGAGAGAACCGAGGCACTGAGTTTAGTCACTTGCTCAGGATCTCCTGGTAGCGTTGGAATCCAGATTGTTCTGTCTGACCTCTGCAGCAGACTGCCCCTCTACAGGGTCCTCGGGGACAGGGCTGAAGTGGAGGGGCCTTCCCAGGGCTGGTCCCACCCCAAGGCCCCTAATACAGACCACTGTCCTCTCTTCCAGTGCTGGAGCTGGGAGGACTGGCTGCTTCATCGCCATCGACACCATGCTTGACATGGCCGAGAATGAAGGGGTGGTGGACATCTTCAACTGCGTACGTGAGCTCCGTGCCCAGAGGGTCAACCTGGTGCAGACGGAGGTGAGTCCTGGGGACTGAGCCACTGGCCACCTGCAGCCTTGGCCAAGGAGAAGCACGGTAGAACAGAGAGACCCATGCTCTGGTGGAGGCATCCTTAGAAAGAGTCCCGGGTGTGGGAAACATGGGAGGGAGTGAATACACGGATTGCTATCATGAGACCACCACAGAAACTAGGATGGCCCTGCCAACCCTAAGGGCCCACAGTGCAGGGATTTCCACCAATGATGGGTGGTGGTGAGTTCCCCATCTCTGAGAGCATCTAAGCAGGGACTGAATGACAACTTTCAGGGATTCTTTGAATAGTATTCCTTCCTTGGGTGAAAGAGAAGAGAGAGAGGGAAGGATTGACATTTGCTGGATGCGTACTGTGTGCCAAACATTGCTTCAGTCACTGCTGAAATGGCTCAGTCAACAGTTATTGAGTACTTGCACTGGGTTCTGGGGATTTCAAAAGAGATAACGCACAGCCCCTGCCCTGAGGCAGAAGCGGACCTTCAGACATCCCTCTGTCCAGTTAGAGAGCCCAAGACCCGAGGGAAGTGGGAGGGGTTCATCTGTATTGCTGAGTACCTACGATGTACCAGGCACCATGCTAGGTCCTTTGTATTCAGGGTATTGTTTCTACTCCTCACAAGCCTCTGTGGTAGCTCCTACTAGCATCCCCATTTTGCAGATGAAGAAACTGAGAAACTAGGTCCCCAAGGCTCACACAGGCAGATGGTGGTAGAACTTGGGTCCGCGTGATCCCAAGGCCCATGCTCTTTCTCCTGAACCATGCTCTCTCGCTAGGCAGCCTTTTCTGCTTACCCTGCTCCTCCGAGCCATGGTTTGTTATTCCTATAATGAGCGCATCTTCTGGTTCTAGTGAAGGCTTTGGGTGCACAGGCAGTCAGAGCTGAGGCAGATAAGGAGCTGCATCTATCATCAGCCCTGCAAAGGGAAATTACTCACGGCTTTGGTCGTGGCCACTCACTGCTGGTCCGCAGGGAATCCTCCCACTTAGAAGCTTATACACACAGGAGCCTGCTGCGGGCTCTGAGCTGACTCCCACAGGCCAGTCTTCTGGCTTCTTGGTGGGGCTGCTAAAGCCGAGAGGCTGCTTTATCTGTTCCCAGGTTCATGCATGCGGAAGGCAGGCTCGCTGGCTGGCGTTAGACACGTGGACCTTGCTGTCTGGTAGGGGAGACAGACATTCAAACAGATCATCATGATGCGTCTGAATAAGCATTTGATATAAAGAGATGGGCAAAATTCTGCAGGAGAACAGTCACTCTACAAACATTTGTTAAGGGCCAAGAAATCATATCAACTTCTACCTGGTGGATTTAGAGAAGACTTTCCAGGGGGAATGAGGCATTGAAGGCATAGAAAAGGGAGAAGGATGTTCTGGGAGAAAAGGACAACAGGTGCAAAGAACTGTGATGGCAGAGGGGGTGGCACACATTTTAGGAGCAGATCCTGAGACAAGGATTTGAGTGCAAGTGATTTATTTAGGAGGTGATCCCAAGACACACTGGTAGGCGAGTGGGGAAGTGGGATAGAGAAGGGAAGGAAGTCAAGCTTTTTGACACCGTTAAAGTGTTTCACAAGCTGTTTAACACAGTGGACACTGGAGCCCCATTTTGCGGGGGAGCTCTGGGAGACAGCGTGGAACATGCACTTCCAAGTTTCCCACCTAGGGGAGAGAGAAGTTAGGTATTTATCCACCAACTCTCCATCTGCTGTTGCTTGGGGGCTCCTTTCCGGGGCGTTCACTCTTTGGTCCTGCTGGCTCGTTCTGCGCACAGCCCAGGTATGCTTCTGGGACTGGATAAAAAGCCCTCAGCATGAATCTCAGGTATTTGCAGTGAGCAGCCTTCAGCAGATAAAGGTGAAAGCTGAGGGGACATGGGCAGGACATCGAGAGCACATGCATGTCCAGAAATTTGTAATTTTTATCAGTGACTATGCTGTCCAATCTTACACAAGGGACAGATCTCACCATAGCTCAGGCCATCACTGAGAAACATGGAAACGGGGCCCTTCGGGTCACAGGATAGAAAGTGATTCTGCAGTATAAATCACGCCCATCCTTCACAGCCACAGGCGTAGATGTGGACAGCAAGCTCCCAGGTCACTATTCTCACCCGGGAGCCTCTCCCCTCTTCCCTTGGCTTTGCAGGAACAGTACGTGTTTGTGCATGACGCCATCCTGGAAGCGTGCCTCTGCGGCAACACCGCCATCCCCGTGTGCGAGTTCCGCTCTCTCTACTACAACATCAGCAGGCTGGACCCCCAGACCAACTCCAGCCAAATCAAGGACGAATTTCAGGTACGAGCGAACCCCAGGCTCAGTGACCCAGCCAACTTCAGCGGCACTGAGCACGCTCGTGGGCTTTTCTTTGTGAGAGCTGATATGTCTGTGCGCTTCCCGTGTCTGCAGCTCTAGACAGCTGCAGAACGCATTCCAGAACATAAAACGCATGGCTGTGAGCAACTATTAACCAATCACTCAGTGATTGCTGACGCTTGTTTTTAGCTGTGATTCTGTTTTTGAACTGAGGTCTTAATTAGTTCTAGTCCAGGTTGTCAGGGGAGACAGGTTTATACACACAGGTATGAATTTCATGCTCCTCCGTCCCTGGAGGGACTCGGGTTTTCTCAGTCTTTCTGTACAATTAGAGTGTGTCCTAGATCCTCACTACTCAAAGTGGGATCTGGAGATGGGGAGCACCAGCTTCACCTGAGAGTTTGTTAGAAATGCAGCATCTTGGGTCCTGCCTACACCTACTGAATGAGAACCTGCAATTTAACAAGACCTCTGGGTGATTTGTCTGCACATTAAACTTTGAGAAGCACCATCCTGGAGCTCAGCTGAGGCAGAGCAGATCTGCACCTTGGACCCCATATGGTCAGAATGGTGGTGACATTGGTCTGGAGGCCTGGACATGAATCACTGAGTAAGGCAAAGCCAGAGTCTAGTCTGTTGTCCCAAGGTCAGTGCCAGGGTCATACTTGGGCAACAGGAGCTGAGAACCAGGCAGCAGGAAGCAAGGAAGCTCCAGGACTTGAGGGGCAAATGCTGGGCCCATAGTTCCATAGGCAGATACCCCAACCAGGCCAATGCCTTAGTGCTCCTTCAAACAAATAGACTTTATTGATTGGGAGTAAGATCCAGTGCCAAGAAGGATGGAGGACGCAGACCCCTGCTGGTTGCACAGAGCATCTAGTCTATTGACTGGGCAGTTCAGCTGTGGCACCACACTTGCAAGACTTGCTCTGCAGAACATAGCCCTGAAATTTTCCAGACCTACTAGAGCTCACCCCTTGGGGGTCTCTCACCCATCCTGAGCAGCTCATCCAAGCATCCTTCCATTCTCAAATAGCTCTCTCTCTGAATGGAGTGTTGGTAAAATCATTTCCCTTATTCCGTGACATGTCAAGGGATGTTTAACACTCATTAGGGATTCCCTACCCCCGTCCCCCACCTTATGACCTCCTGGCTGGCCCACCCTTTAATGTAGCACTGGCTGAAATGAGCAGCTTAGCTCAAATGGTTGGCAGGTGTTGGGAGCCTGTGTCTATGCTGTGTGTGGGCATGTTGCCCCTGCAGCCTTGGCATCGTGGTGGTGTCTCACAGCCCCCAGCAGAGGCTCCCAGCTCCCAAGGCCTGGAGCAGCCAGCAGGAGATGATAGAACATCACCATGGAAGATGAACAAGTCCTGGGAAAGGGACTGGAGAGCTAAGTTTGGAGGATGGAGATGGCGGGTAGGCTGGGTTTGAATATCGCTGTCTCCTCTGTTTGGGGCAACCATCTGAGCACTGCCTGTCTATCCACCTTTGTACCCTACAGACCCTCAACATCGTGACTCCCCGTGTCCGGCCTGAGGACTGCAGCATCGGGCTCCTGCCCCGGAACCATGATAAGAATAGGAGCATGGATGTCCTGCCTCTGGACCGCTGCCTGCCTTTCCTCATCTCCGTGGATGGAGAATCCAGCAACTACATCAATGCAGCGCTGATGGACGTAAGCTGAGCCCTGCCAGGGAAAGCTCCTGGCTGACATTCCAGGGAAAAGCTCCTTCCCAAGATGGAGGTGCCTGGACCCCCAGACCGCTGACATACCCACCCACCCACAGCCAGCCTCTCCTTGCTTCTGCCCTTCCTGGCCCCCAGGACCTTTGCACCCCTGAAGGCACTGGTCCAAACCTATATACAAGCTGTGGTCTTGGCTCTTTTGCTCCCACAAAGAGGCTAGAAAGAATAGACCAAAAGCTTAAAGGGGGTCCCCTGACACCACAGCGAGGCTAGAGGCAGGCCCGGTCCCCTCTCCTGCTGCCTATAGAACTGACTGTCAGCCTTAAGTCGAAGTCAGAAAACGTTCTCCACACCAGGCCTCAGCCTGGGCCCTGGGAACGCAAGATGGTGCAGCCATAGGTTCTGCACTCCAGGAGCTCCCAGGCAGGTTCCCAGGTACCTCCTGTGCAGAGGCAAGAATGAGGATGGCATGTAGTAGGTGCTCAGTAAATGGCTGTTGGACAAGTGATGGGAAGCAGCAAAGGGAGCATGGAAGGGGGACACGCCATGACTCTTCTGACTCTTCTGGTAGGAGCACTATCTCCTGCTCTCTCAGCATCAAGTCCAAGAAGGGCACTGCTGCCTTGACCTGATTTGGGATTAGGAGGTCATATCCCTGCCCCAGCAAGTCCATGCTCCTAACTCCTATGCTTCCCCCTGGGTCCTCCAGCTACTTCTCGTTACCATCCCTCCACCTCCGGGATGTAGAGACGTTTGCAGCAGGAAGGAATCATGGATCATCTAGTCTCATGCTTGCACTTTCTGCACTTTCCCGGAGAGGGAAAGAGACTTGCTCAAGGTCACCCAGAAAGCTAGTGGCAAAGCTGGAACCCAGGAGTTCTGGCTCACACTCTAGAATTCATTCCTCGAACCGCCCCACAGTTTGCACGATCCTGTAAGATGCAAACATCTTGCCTCCCAAGGCTCAAGACTAAGAACATCATTGCCTGATTGGGGATGAGCCCTTCCGTATCCCCCTCCCCACCTGTTTGAAGTCATGTCCATCCAGCCCAGGTGGACCTTCCATCTCACCCAGAACAGGCAGGAATGCGGGGTGCTCTCTCCTGGGAATTCCTACATCTCTGACCTCTGATCCTCCTGAAATTTTGTCTCTTAGGGCCCTCAGTGTTGGAGGCAGGGAGGTGACAGGAGGTCAATGCCTATCTCAGCTCTGTAGGGGCCTGCCCTGGTGTCTGCCCACAAGGTGCATGAGTTCTCCATGGAAACCCCGGGTATGGGTCCAGAACCAGGGAGAGTCTTTTCCTGATCAGGTCAAATAGCTGGATGTGGATGGAAGACTTCTAGCTTTAGCTTAGAGCCTTCCAAGGTCAATGTGTGCATGTACGCGTTATGTGTGCATGCATGCGTGTGCACGTGCTCATGTCCGTGTTTGTGTATGTGTGCTCGTGTTGGGAAGAGATTGGGTCTGGGAGTCCCCCCACACTTCCAACTTCTTCCTAGCTTTGTCTCCCACTTGTCCCAACTCCCCCTCTCCACCTTCCTCATCCAAGCAAGGATCAAACATGCTCCTGGCCTCTTCTTAGTAGGTTAGATGCTGCCTGGAGTCAAATGCCTTCTGCCAAGCTCTAATGCTGATTCTATTCTCTTTGTCCACAGGGCATTTCTCCTGTGAGCCATCACTGGGACCTTTGCCTTTCTTACAAAAAAAAAAAAAAAAGCCCTTATCTGTATTCCAGCTCAGTCTGTGCATTATCTTGTAACCATAGCAGCTTTGCTCCTAGTAGAAAAATATGAAGTCCTCTGGGTTAATTTTTAACGTTTCCCCTGGTAAAGGATGATGTTATCCATGAAATGGATTGCTGGCTGATCCCTGAAACCCAGCAGGAGCATGGATCTAGAGCATATTTTCAGATAAGGCTTTGTCAGGCGTGCTGGCCTAATAGAGCATTTATCACAGAGAGAGAGAAAAAGGAAAGAAAACTAACATTCCCTGAGTGTTGGGCATCATGTCGGGCCCCAGACTTACACTGTCTCATTCTGCATTTGGGTATTATTATCCCCATTGTCCAGATGAGATGTGGAAAGTCAGAATATTTCCATGACTGTCGCCAGGTCAACTAGCTCAGAAAGTGTGGAGCCAAGGATCTGAACCCCAAGTCTTTCGACTCTTAAAGCCTAGATTCTTTTCCATGTCTAGAAATGGCTCAAAGACCTGCTATCCGCAGCTAGAGTTTGGCTTTTGGGGAAACTAAACAGTCTGCCCTCCCAGACCCCTCCTCTGACTATTCCACTGGCCAGGAGAAGGCTTTCGAAAGACAGGAGCCCCTAGTGCATATGTGGCATTTACAATCGCAAGGCTTTTTTTTTTTTTTTTTTGCCACCAGGACACTGAGAGATAACAGAACGGGAAGGTGCTTTATGTAATCTATTTGGCAGGGTCTTTTGCCAGCGTCTTCCCCATCTTTCTGCTGACTTGTGACTCCACTGAAAACAGCTGTGACTCCCACAGGAACCATCTCTCAAGAAAACATGTTGAGAACATGGGCTATTTCTCAGGTTTCACAAACCACTAATGAAGTGAAGAATCTCCCCAGTCTTTCCAAATACCTTCTCACAGGGTGCTGTAATAATAGGGCCTAGTCAAAGCTTCTGGATGTAGTCCAGACTTGCACAGACCATTTTCTCTGTGCCTCAGTTTCCCATCTTTAACATGGGATTGAATGTATTCACTTGTTTGCTAGACGTGTACTGAGTGTCTAGTGTGCCAGCCACAAAGCTAGTGCCAAGGACGTAGAACCAAATCAGGGATGTCTCCACCCTACCAGTGGGCTCACAGTCTGGTTCTTGCTTATTGGTCTTTTCCCATGCAAATCTCATTCAGTCTCTACAACAGCTGTCCCTTTGGAGTTACGATTCCCATTTTCCAGATGAAGAACCTGAATGATAATTTGTCAGTGCTTAGCACTAAAAAAAACAAAGCGCTCTACAAATGGTACTTGAATTGAATGAATGAATAGACGGATGGATGGATTAATGAATGGATGGATGACTTATAACCTACAAGTGGCAAAGATGAGTTTGAACCCCAGGTCTGCCTGACTCTAAAACCTGGGCACCATGCACTGTCCCGTTAGCTCAGGGGACACAGTGCCCATCTCTTCTGCCAGGCCAGCTCAGCCCTCCTTCCAGCCCTGAGGCAGGAATGAGCCTCCTGCCATATAAGCCACTTCGGGGGGCTCTCTGCCTTGGGCTGAGCCAGCCCCTCCTCCAGCATCGTGGGCACAGGGACACAGATATCCCTTATTTCCCAGGAGGTACCTTGGCCAGCAGAGCAGGAAATCTGCATCAAGAATCTTTCATTTTGTATTGTAATGATGATTATTTGCTAAGCTCCAAGACATAAATAATTTATTTGGATAATCCCCATCCGAGTGACACTTTCCTAATGAAATGTCTTAGTTTGGAGCAGAATGAGTTCATCATGAAAAGGTCCTCTTTGCCGCCAGGGCACCCAGAGATAACAGAACGGGCAGGTGCTTTGTGTAATCTTCTTGGCAGGCTCCAGGGCGTCTGGCAGTCACCCGGTCCTCATCATCATCAGGACATCGCTGACGGATGTGTTTTTTACAAAGCCTGTGTCGTTCCTTTGTCAGAGCCACAAGCAGCCTGCCGCCTTCGTGGTCACCCAACACCCTCTACCGAACACCGTGGCAGACTTCTGGAGGCTGGTGTTCGATTATAACTGCTCCTCCGTGGTGATGCTGAATGAGATGGACACTGCCCAGGTAGGAGGAAGCCCAGCTGCTGCCCTAGTTGCTCAGGTGCGTTAGGGCAGCCGTGCCCTAGAGTTGGAGGGAGAGCCCTGAGAGCCAGACAGTGCTGCCTCTGTCCAGCTAAGCTTCCCTCTGATGGGTACTGTCTGGCTGTGAGCACCAAGCAAGCCCATTTGGCTTCCAGCAGAGGCCAGGAGTCCCTTACCACTCCCGGGCCCTCCCACTTCCAGCAATGACTCGCCCTGATTATGAGCTTTATCCAGTACCCCCTGCCCCAAGGCCAGACCCTGTTGCTCCATCCCCCTGGCACTGGTTCAGGTCTTACTCCAAATCATGCAGAGCTTGGAAAGCCAGGAGGTTACCTCCCCCAGCTTGGAGTGTCTCCAGCCCTGCAGAATATCCTGATGCCTGGCCACACCCACCTGCCCTGCCCCCTCCACGATGCAACCCACACTGACAGAGCCTGGGGCTTGAACCTTCAACCCTTTGCTCATTGACCACCCCACCAAGCCCTGGATTTGTCACAGGAGGCTTCATGCCTTAGCCCCTCTGGGTCCAAGGGCTCCAAGCATCATGTGCCTACAGCACATCCCAGTATTCAGGACCCGGGATACATGTCACAGGACAGCGTCTGGAGCCCACACTCCATGGCAGGGCAGTCATTCCTGGGTGGAGGAGGTGAGAGTGGCCTTTCAGGTTTTTAGAAAAGCGATCGTTTCACTGTCTTGAAGGAAACTCAGAGTAACTCAGCACACTCCTGTGTGAGCGCTGGCCTTGTGTGGGAATAAAAAAATGGATCTGAGCTGCAGTCTCAGCCCTCCAGGAGCTCAGAGTCTCGCTACAGAGACAGATGAGCAAATTGTCCCAACCTCTTGCGGCAATGCTGTAATAGAGGTCAGTGGCGAAGTGCTGTGTGGCTGGGAACAGGGAGCAATTAATTCTGCCCAGAGGGTGAGGGAAGACTTCACAAAGAAGGTGACTTTGGCCTTGAAGAAGGCAGCAGAGATTTGGGTGTGTGGGGGATGCAGTAGTTGGGAAAAGGCATTCCGGGCAGAGGAACAGCAGGGGCCAAGGCGAGGTGGGGTGAATGTGTGTAGGCTGTTTGCACAACAGCTTCTGTTGCAGTGTGGCTGGGGCTTGGGGTGTGTTGGGAGGGGAAGAGGGTGGTAATGCTGGAAAATGCAACAGGGCCCAGCCTGCAGAGGGCTACCCATGCCGGGCTGAGGAGCGTGGGCATTGGCCTGCAGCATGGTAAGTGACAGATTTTTACTTTGTAAGCAACAGAATCCTTTCTTCGGATAAAAGCTTTCATGTAAGCCCAATATCTGAAACAGGTATAATCAAGAGCTGCTCAAGTTGAAGCAGAAGGGTGGAGGGTGGGGGACTGGAACTCTACCCACCCTGGTCTTTTGGTTACTCCTGATGCCCCTCAGAGAATCAGCCACTCTAGGTACCTTTGTGGAACCCCTGGGGTTCCTAGGAGCACAGTTAGAAAATGCTTGCTGTATAGGGAGGAGAGATACTGAAGAACTTAAGCAGTGGTGTGGCAGAGCCAGAGTCCCTGTCAGAAAGGCGAGTCTGGGGGCCGGCCCGGTGGCGCAAGCTGCTGGGTGCGCGCGCTCCGCTGTGGTGGCCCAGGGTTCGCCGGTTCGGATCCCAGGCGCGCGCCGACGCACCGCTTGGCAGGCCATGCTGTGGCGGTGTCCCATGTAGGGTGGAGGAGGATGGGCATGGATGTTAGCCCAGGGCCAGTCTTCCTCAGCAGAAAGAGGAGGATTGGCAGATGTTAGCTCAGGGCCGATCTTCCTCACCAAAAAAAAAGAAAGAAAGAAAGAAAAGAAAGGCAAGTCTGGGGACCAGTGAGGAGGAAAAGCTGGAGGAACAACCTGGAAACCAGGAGAGTGGGGAGGAGAATGTTGCAAATGTGCAGAAAACAAAAGTGATGATCTGAACTGAGGAATGGCCAGGAGGTGGGAGAATTGGGGCTGGAGGCAAAAACATTTCCAGAGTTGAAGTCCACAGGGTTAGGGAGCAGTTAGACTTGGGAGGTGAATGAGAAGTCATGGCTGATGGCAGGGTTTCTAGGGTGAGCAGTTAAGCATCTGGGATGCAACTGACCAAGGAAGGGAGGCAGGAGGAGAAGAAGAGAGAGGAAGCAGGAAGGTCAGGGAGGCCAGGAGAGGAGCAGCTTATAGGGAAGAAACGGACTGTAACTCAGGATGGGCATGTGGGAGAGTTCTGGAGGGATGCCGCTCATTCATTCAACCACATTTGTTGGGTATCTGCCATTTGCCAGAAGCTGTTCTATTCTATTCTGAACAAGAAAGAGAAAACAAAACGAGAAATTTCCATCTCTTGTCCAACTTCTAAAGCAGGGGAGAAAATAAATAACAAACACTCTATAATGTGCAATTATATGTTGGAAGATGACTAGTGCATGGAAAAAGAAAAATAAGAGGGCGGGACAGTGAAGATCAGAAGGCTGATTCAGGGCACAGGATACAACCGTCAGAGAACGACGAGGTAGGGCCCATCCAAGTGAGTGGAGAAGGTCATATTCGAGCGCAGATGTGAAGGAGGTGAGACAAGAAGCATGGGACCATCAGAGGGAAGAGCATCCCAGGCAGAGGGGACAACCCGCACCAAGGTCTTATGGGCACGTGCCTGGCACACTTGAGGAGCAGCACAGAGGCCACCATGACTGGAGCAGAGCAAGTGTGGGGTGACAGCCGAAGGTGACACAGCGACACAGCAGGGCCGGGTCATAGAGGGCATTGGGGGTCATAGGAAGAACTTGGGGTTTTACTCTGAGATAGATGGGGAGACACTGACAGGTTTTGAGCAGAGGAGTGACTTGAAAAAGTAATCTGACTTTTTTATAAAAGCATCCCTCTGGCTACCGTGTTGAGAATAGACTGTTGGGGCAGAAAGAGGGAGGGTGTTTGCTAAGAATGGAAGCAGAGAACGGAGATGAGGCTCCTGCAGTAATCCAGGTGACAGGTGCTGGTGGCTTGAACCAAAGTGGTAGCAATGGAGTAGATTCTGGAAATATCCTGAAGCTAGACCGAACAAAATATCCTGACAGATTGAATAAGGAATGTGAAAAGAAAGGAAGAATCAAGGATGACTCCATGAGTGAAGGAGAGCCTATGAAAGCCTGTTTGCTGTTCCCTTTTTTCCACCATCCCTTTTTGCAAAACCAGAGCCCAGGCACAGAGGAGGAGTTTCAAAGAACCTCACCTTGGGACATATAGAGAAGTAAGGGTCAAAGTCATTGGCTAGAGCTCCCCCTTCCAGGGTGGATCCTGGATAAACAAAGATCTTTCAGCCCCAAATGTTAGTACAGGCTTTGAGAAACGATTCTCTAAATGCAAAAACATCAGGCTCAGAAGTGCCCTGAGGTTGGCTGCCATATGCAGCTGGCAAGCATCCCCTGAAATCGGCAGATGAATAGAGCATTTATTGATATAAATATCATCACCCCAACAGCTGGGTGCCTTGCGGAAATAAACAATGACACACAGCGTGAGCATCAGAAAAGCCGCCCTCAGCACCTGGAGGGGCGGTTCTTTGAAGTGGTATCAGCATTTGTCTGCCAGTGTGCTCAGCCAAAGCAGCCACCACTTCAGCCAGCCCAGCAACACAGACAGATCTGCTCCCAAGAGGACCAATGCCACATCCTGCGGTTTGACTGGTGACCGTAAGGGCTCATGTTGAGGGTTGTGGCAGGGCTACCTGTAAGCTGCAGCGCAATAATGTTGAGGAGAGGATGAGAGATCTCAGAGTGCTTTATTTTCTTGCACAGCTGGCCATATCTGTCTGCCTCTGCTCAGAATCCTATCCTACTTCATCCAATCAGCCATCCCCAGCCACAGATACTCTTCCGTTCTCCACAGTGGCTGCTCTTCAAAGATAATTATGAGCAGTGGGAGTTCAAGATAAAGACTCTCACAGCAACTACATTCGACCTGAGAGATTTTTCTAGCTCTTTGGGACTCCAAAGGCCTGTGGTCAGACTAGTGGGGCAAAATCCTAGAACCACAACATCTGGCAAATGACTCTGTGTTTTCAGATGGGTACATCAAAAAGAACCTTCTTAATCACACCCAGTAGCATTGACAAGATCTCTTCCATCTTTGTGGGCTCTGTGGTTAGCCCAGAGTCCATAGGGAGCAGACACCAGAAAGAAGCCCTCTTCATGATCATGCCACATCCACCATGTTGTTTAGAAAACTCAGGAGATCCTCTGTGCCAGCTATGCGGTAGAGCTGTGTGGTAGGTGGAATCATGGCCCCCAAAGATGTCCACATCCTAGTCGCCAAACCTATGAATGCGTTATCTCACATGGTAAAAGAGACTTTGCAGAAGTGGTATAGTTAAGGAACTTGAGATGTGTAGATTATCCTGGGTTCTCCAGGTGGGCCCAATATTAGGGTCCTTATAAGAGGGACACAGGAGGATCAGAGTCAGTGGAAAGCCATGTGACAACGGAAGCAGAAATTGGAGTGATATGGCCACAAGTCACGAAGTGCTGGCAGCCTCTAAAGCTGGAAAAGGTCAGGAATGAATTCCCCCCTAGAGACTCCAGAAAGGACACAGACAGCTCTGCTGACATCTTGAGTTTAACCCCTTAAGTCTTATCTCAGATTCGTGACCTCCAGATAATAAATTTATGTTGTTTTAAGCCACTAAGTTTGTGGTTATTTATTACAGCAACCATAGGAAACTAACGCAGGCAATAAAACTGAAACCAGAAATTCAGACTTGGAGGTGGACCCAGTATTTTGAAAGCTTTTATTTCCCAGACTGTATTTACTAATTTTCTTATATTTTTTCTGTAAACATAACTGCCCCAATGAACTTCTGATCTGCAGGCTACATACAGAGCTAACACAGAGATGCTCTAACTCAAGCCGAAAGCCAGAGACTTGGTGTTCTCCACTCCAGGACCACAGCATGATCTCCCTTTGGCTTTCAAAGCCTTTGGAGAAAGCTCATTGGCTTCTCCTGCC